CGGTGTTCGGGCGAAGTGGGTAATCCGGGCTAATCCGCGGCCGCGTTTCTTCTGGGGCCCCCGGGCTCGCGTGGCGCGTGCGGGGTGGGGGCGGGGAGTGTGGCGGCGCGGGGCAGTGACGGCGCTCTGTCCGCAGGTGCTGGTCCGCGGCCTGGTCGCCATGGTGAGTACGCCCCGCTGGCCCTGCCCCGGGGGCTCCGGGCCGCGAGGGCGCGCGCCGACCCCTGTCCTGTGTTTCAGCCCCGGAAAATCGAGGAGATCAAGGACTTCCTGCTCACGGCCCGGCGGAAGGATGCCAAGTGTGGGTGGCCGCGCGGGCGCGTCGCGGGCGGGAGAGGGACGCGGGCGGCGCGGGCTCGGGGGCCGTGGAATCACGTGTCTGAAAGAACAGCAGCGAGGAGGAGAGGGAGAGGTCTCCCATCCGCTGTCCACTCCCCCGAGGGCCGCCGTGGCCAGGGCTCCCACGCGGGTGCAGGGCCCAAGCACTGGGGCCAGCCTCCACTGCCCTCCCGGGCCCAGCAGGGAGCGGGATGGGAAGTGGAGCAGCCGGGACTCGAACCGGCGCCCACGCGGCTGCAGGCCCCCAGGTGTCCTCTCAGCCCGCCGGCGTCGAGGGCGCTGAGCTGCTGTCCGCGGACTGACCGTCCGACCGAGGCTCTGAGCCCCGGCCCCTGCGCCCGCGAGGTGGGCGGGGGTGGACCTGCTGCGCCTGCAGGGTGGGCGTTGGGGGGTCGGCGCTGGCGCCAGGGACCGAGCAGAGCCACGGAGCCGCGATCAGCCCTCGGCCGCCTGCTGCTGCGCTGACCCTGGCCGGGCGGGGCAGGTTCCTCCCGCAGACCCAGGTGGCCGCGGCCGGCCGCGCGCTCGGTGTCCGGCTGTCGGCTCGGTGTCCACGCTGCGCTGCTGGGCGTGAGCTCCGCTGAGCCGAGGTCCTGGACGCGGCAGCCGTGGCGCTGGGGGAGGGGGCGCACTGGGGACCCTGCCCCGTGGGGAGCCTGGGGGGAGCCCCGCCTCTGGGGCCCCGCGCCCACACGGGCTCCTGGCTGGCCCCGCTGCTGGCGGCGTGGAGGAGCGGGCCCGCAGGGAGACCTCATAACCGGGCCTGGGCTCTGCGCGGATCTGGGAAGGGCCCGGCGTGTGCGCCTCCAGGGGCGGGGCCTGGGCCCTGCCGGCTCCGGTGCTGGGGGGCGGCCGCCTGGCCTGGTCGCTGGCCGACAGTGGAGTCGCCCAGCACCGCCTGCGGGGTTGGCTGAGATGCCCGGCGTCCCGGTGACTCTGCGGACCCCTCACAGCCGTCAAGATCAAGAAGAACAAGGACAACGTGAAGTTCAAGGTGCGCTGCAGCCGCTACCTCTACACGCTGGTCATCACGGACAAGGAGAAGGCCGAGAAGCTGAAGCAGTCCCTGCCCCCAGGTGCGCGCAGCCCGCGGGCCGCCCCTCCCCCGCCCCCGCGGCTCCGGGCCGCCCCTCCCCCACCCCGGCGGCTCCGGGCCTGACCCCCGCTCTCCCCCCAGGCCTGGCCGTGAAGGAGCTGAAATGAACCGGAGAAGCCGCTGGAACTGCATTAAAGTGTTAAAAGTGCTCCCCGACTCCTGTCCCTGTCCTTGTCCCTGCGAGGGCGGGAGGGGTGGGGCCCGGTGGCCTCTGAGGACAAGCACACGCCGTGGGGGGGCTGCGGCTCCCTTGCCTGCCCTGGGGGCGGGCAGTTCGGGTGGGCTTGGCAAGGCCCTAGCAGGAACGTCCTCGCGCCCTGTGACGGCGGAGCCGGCGTAGGAGGGACGCTGGGGCCTGTGTGAGATCGGCCCCAGGCTCGGGCGTTCACTGTTGTCACCGTCCTGCTGGGTGGGGGGCTCGGCTTCGTGTAGCGGTAGGCGGGCGCAGTGAAGCCCTGTCCGAGCGGGTGCCCACAGCCGCCGGCTTTTGGAAGTGCAGGGGCTCTGAGGCGCTGCCGCCGCCTTGTCATTGGGTGGTTCTGGGGTGCACACCGGACGGGGGTGTCACGTCGGGCCTGTTGACGGGCTTGGGGCTCGTGGAGGCAGCCGGGTTCTCGGGGGCTCACCCCCTGCCAGCTCTGGGTCGATGATTGCAGCTAACGAAGATGGGGTTTAAAACTGCAAGGCGGGGGCCGGCGCTGTGGCAGAGCGGGTAAAGCTGCCACCTGCAGTGCCGGCATCCCACATGGGCGCCTGTTCGAGTCCCGGCTGCTCCACTTCGGATCCAGCTCTCTGCTGTGGCCTGGGAAAGCAGTGGAAGATGGCCCAAGTCTGGGCCCCTGCACCCACATGGGAGACCCGGAAGAGGCTCCTGGCTCCTGGCTTCGGATCAGTTTAGCTGTGGCCATTTGGGGAGTGAGCCAGCGGATGGAAGATTCATTTTCTCTCTCTTTTTCTCTCTTTCTCTTTCTCTCTGCCTCTGCCTTCCAAATAAATTAATCTTTAGAAAAAAAAAAAGCCTGCAGGGTCCCACATGCGCTAGGAGAAGCTGTGGAGGGGGAGACCTTCCAGCGCCCCAGCAGTCCTGTGCCTGCCGCTCAGGGGCCGCGCCCGCACCCGGTCTAGCAGGGGCGGGATCCTGGCTCTGCTGCAGGGTCTGAGCATTGCCTGCCCCGTGGGAAACAGCCGTGTTGAGGCGGCGTCGGTGTGTTCCTAAGACAGAACCTGCCGGGAGGATGGCCGTGGATAGCGGTTCATGTCCGGACAGGCCACAAGGTGGCGCCACGCTACAAGCAGTCACCAGGACTGGTATGGCTGTGGGCTAAAGTGCCTTCTGGTCTGTAAGAGCCCGAGTTCATGGTTGTTACCTGCTCTGCTTCTAAACGGGCCGTAGAGTGGTCGGTGACGTCTTAGCACAAGCAGATCATCACTGTTAAGGACCTGAGGGAGTTGTGCTTGGTCCTGTTTCCAGGAGAGGCGTGGGTGGGCGCGGGGGGCTGCTCTGGCTTCCACATGCCCAGGTGTGGCCGTCCTTGTCCACAGCATAGTCCAGGCTTACCCCGGCTCCTAGGACGTGAGCTCTGCGGGGCCTGCCTGGAGGAGGCAGCCTTTGCCGCAGGGCTTCCGTTCTGGATGGTGCCTCGGGGTCACGTGGGGCTGACTCCTGGGGAGCCTCCAGGCACGGAGCCCTCCCCTGGGGGCACCTGGCCTCTCCCAGGATGCCGCAGGTCACCGCTGGGACAAGGCCTCTAGCTCCAGCAGACAGGACATCCAGTGGCGTCTGGCGGGGGTGGGGGGACCTCGTGACAGCAATGTGTGGCCATCACACAGGCTGGGGGCTGATGGGCGGCAGGAAAGGGCCCTGGGGTGTTGCTGCAGGTCAGCAGGGCCCCAGGCCAAGCTACCTCCCGCCTCTTCCTGTTTTTCCCCCTCTAAATAAAGGCACAGTTACTTCAAAGTGAGGTGATTTTTTTGCATCTCATCCACTGGTTCACTCCCCAAATGCCCACCACACTCAGGGTATTCCAGGCCCGAGCCAACAACCTGGAACTGCCCCAGGCCTCCCGTGTGGGTGGCAGGGGCCCAAGTCCTGGAGCCTCCAGGGTGCACAGGAGCGGGAAGCCAGGGGGACACCCACAGTGCTGGGCCAGGATGCAGCCCCACACCAGGTGCTGCGCCCTGAGCTAGACGACCACCCCTCAGTTCTCCGAGGCCCAGCGTGGGGACATGCACAGCGGCGGTGCCCGCTCCTGCAGGCTCCCTCCCCGGGCCCCGGGCCGCGTCTGCGGCCGGGATGCAGCCCACCAGCCCTTACCTGGCTAATGCCGATGCCTGCGCCCACCGCGAACCCAGCTCTCTTCCAGGCACGTGGGGGCGGGGGGGGGGGGCTGTAATGAAGAGAGGCGCCTGGCCTCGCCTCGCGTCGCTGCTTGCCCTAGGATGGAAGTGGGTAGAATTCATGGACCAAACCCCTGTGCAGAAGAGCGAGTGGTCCCCGGCCTCCTGCGCCCCCACGGGCCTCGACTCTCCGTGTGCACACGCGGAGGGCAGGGCGCGGCTCCGGGCGGACAGGCGCAGCGGCCACTGTGGTCTGGCCCCTGTCGGCCACGCGTGTTTGCGGTAGCTTCCGCCGGGTTTTACCTTCCCCCAAAGCGCGCTCCGAGGGTGCCCCTGACGGAACAGGTCCCCCCGCGGCTGCGTGGGGCCGAGCGTCCCCCAGGGGCCTGGTTGTCCATCCCCTCCCACGCTCCTGCCTGCGGTCCCGCCCCCAGGCGCCCCCGTGCCCGCCTCCTCCCAAGGCGCCCCCGTGCCCCTCCCAGGCTCCCCAGACAGCTCGGGGGCCCCTTCCTCCAGGCGGCCAGCCCTGTCTTGCCCCCCCAGGAAGAACCCAGCGGCGTCAGGGCGCAGGGGAGCCGCGTCGCCCACGCCCAGGGCGCCCCAAGCCGCCTGTGTCACCGGGAATCCCCGGGAGAGGCACCGCGTCCTCTCTCTCGGCGTCCCCAGGTGCACCGGGGGTGCTCAGGGGCCGCACGCACGCCCCGCGGCTGGGATGGCCCCTTCTGCCCTCGCAGCCCCGGCACCGGCCGGCCTCGCCTCTCCCGCCCCGTCCCGCAGACCCTGATGGAGGACAAGGCGACAAGACTTAGGAGACTTCTAGGGGCCCTTCGCACTTCTTTCAACTCTTTCTCCGGTCGGCCCAGGGCAGGCAGCCGGGCAGGGAGTGACCCGACCTCCGGGGTCAGGGCGGGCGCGTTCGGGGAGGCCAGGCGGGGGCGGGGCCCGGAGGGGGCGGGGCCCGGAGGGGAGGGGCCAAAGCCTGGAGGGGGCGGGGTGGGGCCGGGGGGCCGGAGGGGCGGGGCGGGGCCGGAGGGGCGGGGCCGGAGGGGCGGGGCCGGAGGGCCGGGCCGGCCGGGCGCGCGTCCCGGGCCCCGCGGCGGCGTCGGCAGCGGCGGCCGCGGCGTGCGGGGCCGCACTCGGGCTGAGCCATGCCGGCGGCGCGAGTGGAGTACATCGCGCCCTGGTGGGTCGTGTGGCTGCACAGCGTCCCGCACGTGGGCCTGCGCCTGCAGCGGGTGGACAGCACCTTCAGCCCGCGCGACGAGACTTACCAGGAGGTGAGCCCGCGCGGCCCCCGGCCCACCCTTCTGCTCTCCAGACCCCGAGCCCGCGCTCTGCTCGCGCCCCTGGTCCCCTTCCCCTCTCCCCGCTCGGCCCGGGAACGTGGGGGGGAGGCCGAGCGCGGAGACCGCCCGCGGGGACGGGGGCGCCCCGAAGTTCTGCTCCTAAAGAGGTCCTGGCGCGTGGCCCGGCAGAAGTTCTCGCTGCAAGCGCTCGCGCCTCCGGGTCGGACCGTGCGTGCGGTGGGGGCGGCGCGGCGACCTCTGCCCGCGCGGCCTCTCCCGGGCTTGGCGGCGGCGGCGGCTCCCCCCGCGCCGCGGGGAAGGAGGGCGGGCTCGGAGCCGCCACGTCTCCCGCGGTGGTCGTGAGAGCGCACCCTGCCCCCTTCCGCGTGGCCCCGGCCCGCTCCGTCCCTGCGTCCCGCCGCCTCCGCCGCGGAGTCCTGGGCTGGCGGCTGCCCAGCTCGTCCTCACACTTCTGCCGGCCCCTCCCTCGGCCGTAGCCGGGGCGGGGGGCGCGCAGCCCGCTTGGGCCCCTGTGGTCCTGCTGAGCCATTTCCCTCTGTTGGGTGCAGGATTCAGGACCCCCAAGAGTGCTCCCACTTCGGGATCGGCCCCCTGGGGCCCCTGCCCGCAGTGTCCAGTCGCGGTCCTGTCCAGGCAGGGGCCTCTGGACGCGGGAGAGTCAGCCTCGGCCTTTGTCCTGTGGGGCCGGGGAACCCTGACCTGAGCGCCAGGACAGTGACACAGGGAGTCTAATAATAACCCGAGGTGTCCATGCTGCCCCAGGCCCGGGCAGCGGGACCTCCTGCAGCCGCCCAGACCCTGCCCAGGGGCTCCTCCTCATCCCAGCCCCTCCCTGCCCCTGGAAGTCCGCCGCCCGGGGATAGCTCCAGGGGACCTTTCCGCTCCCTGGCGTTGTTGAAAAGAGGCGGATGTGACAGCTGAGACAGCTGTCCTGACTTGTGTCCTGTCCGTCCTTCCATCCCATACCGGGTCCCAGATCCTGCACGGATCTTAACTGAGTGGGAGTAGGGAGCGCCAGGGCACTCCCACCCCAGGGGCCTGAGCCGCCCCTCCCACCCCGACAGGTGGCAGCAGAGCCAGAGGGACCCTCTCGCAGCCCCTGCCCTCCTCCTCCCGGGTCTGGCTCGTGCTGGGTGTCCCATGCCCCCCCCCACAGGGCCTGGCTCGTGCTGGGTGTCCCATGCCCCCCCACAGGGTCTGGCTTATGCTGGGTGTCCCATGCCCCCCCCACAGGGTCTGGCTTATGCTGGGTGTCCCATGCCCCCCCCACAGGGTCTGGCTCGTGCTGGGTGTCCCATGCCCCCCCCCACAGGGTCTGGCTCGTGCTGGGTGTCCCATGCCCCCCCCACAGGGTCTGCCTCATGCTGGGTGTCCCATGCACCCCCACCCCCAGGGTGTCTTTCCCCACACCTGGCCCTGCCGGTGGAGGGGGTCAGAGCGCTGAGTGCAGGGAGGGAGGGGACAGTGTGGGAAGTCTGGCTCTACACATTTCGGTAAGTCCCCCTGGTGTCTGACCACAGGCCTCTCCTGGACATCCCCCTTCCAGCCCCGGCCAGAGCCAGCAGCCTGGTCAGTTCCCACCGGGGCCTGGGTGCTGCCGGCCCTGTCCTCAGCAAGCTTGGCAGGGCCCAGTGCTGCGCCCAGCCCGGGGTGGCCGCGGTCACCAAAAGCACGGGGCAGCGTCTGGGCTCCGCCGCTCGGCTGGCTGGGTTGCATTCCCAGGCTGCGTGACCGTGGGCAGGGGTCTGAGCCTCCCTCGCCTGCGAGGGTTTGATGAGTTATTCCGTGTAGGGGGCTTTCTTCACACAGGGGGTCCCAGAGCAGAGTGGCGCCCGGTGACACACGTCCTTGGACGGATGGGCCGCGGGGCTCAGCAGTGTCAGGACAGCGAGAGGAGAGAGCTCTGCAGGCGCTGGCCAGGGCGGCCTGAGAAGGGCTTTAGCTCAGGCTGCGAGTGTGCGTGCACGTGCGTCAGAAGCCGAGCGGAGGTGGGCACTGGGCCCGTGCAGGCCTAGAGGAAGGCTGGCGAGTGGTGGGCGCTGGGGCTCTCCAAGGCAGAGTCGGGGGTGGTCTTAGCAGGGCAGACCTCCCTGCGAAGGCGGCCCCTCCCCTTTGCCGGGGTCTTCGAAAGCTGTGGAGGCCCCCTGTGCCCCTGGGCCTGGTCCTTTCCCCCTCCCCCCTGCCCTCAGTGACCTTGGCCTGCGTCTGCCGGCCTCATGGGGAGGTGACCACATCCGCAGAGGGTGGCCAGGTAAGTCCCAACGCCGGCCTGGGGGAGGAGGAGGCTGTGGCCCCGGAGGAGGCAGGGACCTGGCCTTGTGAGCCATCTCTTTCCCCGCAGGTGAGAAGGCGGGGGTGGAGGTCATCCCTGCCGCAGAGGTCAGGGGGCCCTGGGCCCGGCCAAGGCATAAAGCCTGCAGCCAGTGCCCGGCTCGTCAACGCCGCCAGAATCACAGTGTGCAAGGGGGAGACCCCAGCCGCCCGGGTGTCCCTGGGCAGTGCGGGGCCACAGACAGGCACCTGGCACTGCACACACTCACACACACACCCGTCCCCTCCCTGCCCCAGGGCAGGCGGGTCACAGATGGCCCCCAGTGCTTGCTGTGTACGGGGGAAGCTTTGGACATGGAGCCCCCCTGTGGCTCCTCCCCATCGGTACAGCACTGTTGCTGGGAGGTAGTGTGTAGGCTGCATTTTCATGGGGGGGGGGGTCTTCCGGATTCCCCAGGTGTGTGCCCTTAAGCCAGGGGAGGGGACAAGGTGGGGGGCTGGGCCAGGAAGTACCGGACCTCAGCACTGAGCTGGGTGACAGCCCTGGGGAGGAAGCCCGCATTCATCAGTGTGAGCCTTGAGTCATGGTCATCAGACAGTCACGCTGAGCCCGGGGAGGGGGCCTGGCCCTCCCCCATGGGCCTGGGGGCCTCTCCCCCTGCCTGCTCCCAGCTCCCCTCCCCCCAGCCTCAACCCCCCCCAGTGTCTGGGCTGCAGCCCCTCCCTGCCCAGCTGCAGTGGTCGCTGCCGGGTCCTGGCTTGGTGCGCCCCGGCCTGGGTTTCTCAGGACAAATTGGCAGAGCAGACATCATTGAAGTCGCTTTGATGGGAGAGGCAGCGCACTGATGTGGGGGGCCGTGGCGTGGTCCTGGAGCGGGAGAAGCCCACAGGGCACAGAGGGTGGCGGGGTGGGGGTGTCCTCCAGCCTGCCCAGCACAGCTCTTGGCTCTGGCTCTGTCTTCCCACTGCCATGTGGGTTCCTCAGTGTTAATTAGCAGCAGGAACATAATTGCCCCTTAGAGAGCAGCGGTGACACCCAGCTCCGCTCTCCTCCTCCTCCCTCCCGCACCACCCGCCCCTCCTCCCCCCTCCACTCCCTTGGCCGGGCGCTGGGGGCACCTCCAGCCCCAGCTTCCTGTGCCCCCAGCACCCAGAGACAGTAGGGTCCCGAGGGGAGCTGCGGGGTTTGCCAGAGCGGGACGGCATTGTCAGGCCCCCGTGGCGGCCAGCTGCCCGGCTGAGAGAGGCCCCAGCCACAGGATCCCCGGGCCTGGGGAGAGTGAGACAGGGGAGCCGCGGCGGGGACCTGGCCGGGGCTGGATGGCGAGACCACGCGGCCCTGACTCACGGCTGCACTGCTTCTGGGAAGGTCCTCGTAGCCGGGAAGGGACACGGGGTAGATTCGGGGGATTTTCCTGTTGGGGGCGTCCAGGGCGCAGGCTGGAAGACAAGGGCCGTCTGGATATTAGCTGTTCTCTGCAAGAGGCCTGTCCCCTCCTTTGTTCCCCTTTCTTTATTTAAAAGATTTATTTATTTATCTGAAAAGGCAGAGTGACCGGGGCGGGGGGGTCTTCCTTTGTTGGGTCACTCCCCAGATGGCCACAACACCTGGGGCTGGGCCAGGCTGAAGCCAGGAGCCTGGAACTCCATCCAGGTCTCCCACCAGGGTGGCAGGGGCCCGAGCACTTGGGCCGTCCTCCGCTGCCTTCCCAGGTACATTCGCAGGGAGCTGGATTGGAAGCAAAGCAGTCGGGATTCCAACCGGTGCCCCAAAGGATGCCCCTCCCCTTTAAAACCCACTATAATTAGGAATAAATTAAAGGCCGCGGACACCATGGCAAGTGCTACTGAAGGCCACCATCCCCTTGGCAGTGTCCCTGGGCGCCTTGGCGTCTCCGCCGCATGGCTGCCACTGGCACCCCCATCACGGGCAGGCGGTCTTCTCGAACCTTGTGCTTGCAGACCCGCTGAAGCCAGAGCCCTGCTGGCTAGCAGCTGGCTTGTCTGGCTGGTTCACCCGCGAGCTGCCGTCCGTTTTTATGGCTGCACAGCGCTCCGTGTGTGCCGAGGCACGTTTTGTGTGCCCGTCTTCTTGCTGGTGGACATCGGGGTGGCTTGCCCGTGGGTGGCCAAAATATCCACGTGTGCGTCTTTGAGGGGCTCGAGCCCTCCGGCTTCCTAGAAAGTGCCGTTGCCGGGTGCGAGGTGCATGGGGCTTGCACGTCGTCGGGGGCGTCCCTGGGTTCTGGCTGGGGGGCATCGGGGCTGTATCGGGGAGGCGCACTGGTAGCAGGGCTGTGCTAAGCGTTGAGATGAGGAGGGTTAGGTACTGAGGAGTGGTGCGGGCAGGGGGAAGTCACCGCCCAGCCCTGTGGCTGAGGGGACGACGGAGGTGAGTCCCTGGCGTGACCCTGCTGTGTTTGTCCTGCGTGGCTGTGACAGCCACAGCTTAAGTCAAGTCCACCTGTCCTCCTCCAGATGAGCGGGTCTCCCGCCCTCTCCCAGGCTTGTCCCCAGCACTCTGGCCGTTTGTCCCTGACACTGAGAAGCGTGTAGGTCCGCAGTGAGCAGCAAAGTCTGATGCCGGACCAAGTCTGCCCAGGGCTGCACAGCTGAGCGGAACCAGTTCAGCAACGTGACTCCTGCAGGCGTCCACACCCTGGCCCCTGGACAATGGCTGCGGGGCCTCGGGCCCCAGATGCCCAGCGTCTGTGTGGCAGCTTGTCGCCGTCTGCCTATCCCTGCACAAGGCCTGCCTTCTCCTTGGGCCTTCAGGTCCCGCGGTCTCCCCGACCCCTACTGATGGCGGCATCATCATTCGGGGTCCCTGAAGGGCGCTCCTGCCCGGCAGCCAGTCCTGGGGTGCTGGGGCTGTGCAGCAGGAGCCGCTCGGGGACACATGGGGCGCAGGGGGGCTACCAGCTCGGGCGCCAGACTTAGACCCAGCTCCAGCCCTGGCGGGCGGCCACCAATCCCTGTGCCATCTGGTGTCCATCTGGCTGAATCAAGAGATTGGAGGGCAGAGGGGGTGGGGGACACCAGGCCTCTGAAAGACCCCGAGGTGCTGGGCGGGGCAAGCAGACACCTCCTGCCCCTTTCAACATTCTGGCTTGGTGCTGCTGGCCCCTGGGGACACAGCTGTCCCTCTCAGTATTCAGCACGAAGGGACTCCACGATTATGTTTCCTGATGCCCCCCGCTCATCCCCCAACACCTAGAACAGGCACTGACCGCCTTGGAGAGGAGGAGCCCTTTGCACGAGGAGGCAGCGTCCGTGCCCCACGACCCTTCCTGGCCCCGTCTGAGGGTCCAAGGCATCCAGCAAATAAGCAAACACATCTTTAAGAAAAGAGTTTGAGAGGCAGAGGGAGAAAGAGGGAAGGCTTCCCTCTGTTGGTTCTCTCCCCCAGATGGCCGTAACTGCCAGGGCTGGGCCAGGCTGAAGCCAGGAGCCTGGAGCTCCATCCACGTCTCCCACGTTGGGGCAGGGGCCCCAGCACTTGGGCCACAGCCCTCTGCCTTCCCAGGTGCATTAGCAGGGAGCTGGATTGGAAGTGGAGCAGCCCGGTCTTGAACTTACACTTGTACGGGATCCCGGCACCGCAGACTGCAGCTTAACCTGCTGCTCCACAGCGCCGGGCCCCCACCCCCCCCACCCCGGTCTTGCTTGGCCACAGCCCTCGCGGCCGTTTGCTGACTCCTGCATGTGTGTCAGGGGCTCAGGGCTCTCCGTCAGGCAAGGCCTGGTTGCTGTCTTCGTCCAGGTGTGGCAGCCAGAAACCCTGTGTGTCCGCCTCCCCCGTACCTGGCCACCAAGGGCACCGCGGGGGCTCCATCCCCTCCCTCCTCCTGAGCACCAGGCACTGTTTACAGAGTAGGGGCTTCTATCACGGGAGCAGGAAAGGACGGACAGAAGAAAGATGGGTGACAGACACACAGCCCCAGCTCCCACGCCCGCCGCCCGGCACCCAGGGCCCCGGGGCCGGGGGCTGACCCTGGGCTCTCCTCTTTCAGTCGCTGCTGTTCCTGGGGCTGGTGGCCGCCGTGTGCCTGGGCCTGAACTTGATCTTCCTCACGGCTTATCTGGTCTGCGTGTGCTGCCGCCGGCGGGACGAGGCCGGGCAGACCAAGCAACGCGGCTCCTGCTGCACCACCTGGACGGCGGTGGTGGCCGGGCTCATCTGCTGGTGAGTGTCCCCCTGCATGGGGACGGGCAGAGGGCAGGGCGTGCTGGCGTGTGTCCTGCCGGTTAGCCCGTGAACCTGATCCCCCCCAGCCGCCGCCCCCCCCCGGGGGGCTACCTTGGTGGACCAGCGTGGCCCCAGGTAAATGCCGTCCCTTTCCCTGCCACACGCCTAGGGTGGTCTGGGGTCTCCCTCCTGGCTCCGACCCCTGCGCAGTGCACTTCTGTCCAGCCACGCAGGCCTCTCCCTGGCTCCAGGCCCCTCTCTCCCAGTACCACCCTGGGCCTGCGAAGTCAGAAGGAAACCTGACCGTGGCCAGGATCAATGCCCTCTTCTCCCGGGATCGATAGCTCTCAGGGCCATTAGAGCCGTGCTCTGCTCAGCTCCCGGCGCGGCCCCTGCACGTGCTGGCTGTTTGCAGGAATTGTATTTTCCAGAGGCTTTTCCAAACCGAGCCTCTGCCGGGGTGTGCTCCCCTCTGGCTGGAGTCCCTCACCACTGGGCCACACGACGGGTACCAGGCAGGACCCCTGGCCTCCGCGCTGCGGAGCACGTGTGAGCACGTGTCCGCCCGCCATCCCGCCCCCTGCAGCAGGGACACAGAGGGGACGCAGCGCCCGGCACAGGAAAGGGACCCAGGCCGGCTACCCTGGGATCCCCGGCCCCGTGAACTCAGAGTAAAATAATAACAATAATAAAATCACAGAGTTCGGGTGCTCTGCGTCATAAGATGCCCCAAGATTGTAAATCAAAGATGCGTTTAGTATCACTAGCACAGGGAACCCAACAGCTTAGCCTCCCCAACCTCACATGGCCTCAGAACACTTCTGTTAGCCTGCGGGGCTGAAGACAGAACACAAACCTGTTTTTCAGGTTATTTATTGTTTGTTTGTTTAAGAAGCTGAGTGACAGGGAGAGAGAGAGAGAGAGAGATCTTCAGGGTTGATCCAGGCCAAAGCTAGGAGCCAAGGACTCCATCCAGGTCTCCCGAGCGGATGGCAAGGGGCCTGACTACTCCGGCCATCATCTGCGACCTCCCAGGCGCATTAGCAACAAACTGGACGGGACGCACGGGTGGGATCCCATCCTGGGCAGGCCAGCCCCGCGTGTGGGGGTGTGGACCTCCTACCTGACACCTGCTGTGCCCTGGCGTCGCCCCCCGCCCCCCAAGCCTATCTCAGAGACAATGCTGAGTCCCCTCTCTGGTTTACTGAGTTCCGTGCTGGACTGAAAGCTGGGGTAGTTGAAAGGGTGAGTGAGCGCTCGCACCTTTACAAAGCTGAAGAGCCGTGTGCATGGCTTAGGGGGCCGTTGCAACAAGTAGCAATCACCTTTGGTTTTCGGGAAGCTCGGAGCAGGAACTGTGGGCTGGACTCGCTCCGCCGCATCCTGCACATCCCCTGTGCCAGGCGAGAGGGAGCCAGCAGCGAGAAAAACAGGCACAGGGCTGGCGTTGGGGCACTGCAGGCTGAACCACCACTCGTCACGTCAGAGCGCCAGTGCCAGTCCCGGCTGCTCCGCTTCCGATCCAGCTCCCTGCTGATGAGCCTGGGAAGGCAGCGGAAGACGGCCCAAGTGCCTGGGCCCCGGCTGTCACCCACGTGGGCGACCCAGAAGGAGTTCAAAGCTCCTGGCTTTGGTCTGGACCCAGCCTTGGCCGTTGCAGCCATCTTGGGAGTAAACCAGTGTATGGGAGATCTCTCTCTCTTCCTGTCTCTACATTGCTCTGCCTTTTAAATAAATAAAATAAATCTTTTTAAAAAAAAATGCACATTCCTAGAGCCCACCGAGGCAGTGGGCCGGGTTGGGGGTGCCTTCTGCATGCTACCAGGCATTGAGCTGATTCTGTTCCCATGGGCCACCCCCCAGCCTGGGAAACCTTGAATTCCAGGGTCGAAGGCAGGCCTGAGGGGGGGTTCCGTAACAGCCTTGCTGGGAGTCCGCCCTGGGCCGGGTAAGCTGGCCGTGAGCTTCCTGTCCTCCCCAGGCACGAAGTTGGCGCCAACTCCGGGGGCTGCGGCATGAGTCTCGGCTCCCCCAGGATGTGATCGGCGTCCAGGCCCAGACCTGAAATGCTGGACTCACACCAGCCTGGGGAGTTCCGCAGGGTTAGGTTGCAAGCTCTGCCTTTGGATAAAGCAAAAACGAAAATCAATACAGCGCCCAGGAGGAGGCAGTCAGCAGGGGAGGGGAGGCTCTGGGGACGGAGCCACCCTGAGCAGTGACCTTGACCACCAGGCAGAATTGACCCCTGAGGACACTGAAGTCACAGACTGCAGCCAGGAGGGTGACAGGAAGCCACACCAGGCGGGTGGCTGGTGGCACCCGCACACGGAGCCCTCTTCCCGCCGTCGCAGGGGACAGCCATGCACACCACGGAGGGTGCGTGGCTGTGAGAGGCAGGTTTCACCCCAGGCGGAGAAGGGACTTTCTGTGCCCTTGGGGCTCTGGGGAAGAGGACCCAGCGGCCTCCCATGGGCAGGGAACGTCAAGGAAAGGGTGGAGCATGGCCAGGGAGTCCTGGCTTCTGACCTGGGGCTGTGGGCCCCACCCAGACCCCTCGGGCCGGCCTGGGTCTCCTCCTCTTGGAGTCCTTAACCTTCACCCCCAGTGTCGGCCCAGCCCCCGGGGAAAGAGCTCAGTGAAGGTCAAATCCCTGCCCTCCATCCGGGGCTACGGTGGCTTTGTTCCTGATGGCCGGGACTTGGAAGGGGCCCAGATGCCCAGCAGCAGGGGTCGGGGAAGCGCTCTCTGTCGCATCCAGACCGCGGGGCAAGGAGATGAGCTGTGCCGTCCTGGACAGCCACGGAGGAGCCGTCGGCGGCGGCTGCTACGGGAAAGAAGCCAGCCTCAACAGGGGAGAAACTGATGTCCACTGAGTGACTTTCTGGGAAGGCAGAACTATGGCGACCGCGAAAGCAGCTGAGGTTGGGGGGGTGAGTAGGGAGAGAGCAGGGTTTTTTTTCTCTTTAAGACAGAGTCATAGAGAGGGAGATACACACAGAGATTTTCCGTTCACTGGTTCACTCCCCACATGTCCCCAGCAGCCGGGTCTGGCCCAGGCTGGAGTCAGGAGTCAGGAGCTCCATCCGGGTCTCCCGCGTGGGTGGCAGGGACGCTGGTGCTTGGGCCATCATCATCCCGGGCCTTCCCAGGCTCATGAGTGGGAATTCTGGGTGGAAGTTGAGGGGCCAGGACTCGAACCAGCAGCGCTGTGATTATGGGATGCCGGGATGCAGGCAGTAGCTTAACCCGAGGCCACAACGCTGGCCCCAGCACGGCTGTGAGGCTGTGGTGCCGTAGTGGTGCGTCTGTGTCCTACCTTTGTCCAGTCCTGAGAGTGGGCAGCGCCAGTGTGAACTGTGGGCTTGGGGTGCACGGTCCACGCCGGTGTGCACTTGGTGCCCACACCCTCTCCGGAAGTGCTTGGTTCAGGTCTTGGCTGCTCCTCTCTGACCCAGCTTCCGGCCCATGCGTAGCCCAGCAGGCAGCAGGCGATGGCTCGAGGCCTTGAGTTCCCGCCACCCATGTGGGAGACCTTGGTTGAGTGCAGGCTTCAGCCCAGCCCAGCCCTGGCTGTTGCAGGCGTTTGGGGAAGGTATCTCACTCTCTCCCGCTTTTGTTCTCTGCCTTTCAACAAATAAATACGCAGAATGAAGACAAACACTCTTCTAACCTTTGTTTGGGTTTTGATTGTAGTGCCGCCATAGGCATTGGGTTCTATGGGAACAGCGAGACCAGCGACGGGGTCTACCAGCTGACCTACTCCTTGGACAATGCACACCACACCTTGTCTGGGATCGACACTCTGGTAAGGCCGGTGGGCAGCTGGCCAGGCACGGGTGCAGCGTGTGAGCTCAGTGCGGCCGGGACGGGGTCCCAGTGGGTCCCCATGGGTCCCCAGCCGGCTCGGCCCCCGCAGACCTGCAGCGCCCCTGCTTCTCCTGGGTTTCCAGGAGAGCCGCTCACTTCCTGTTTGCCGCAGGAGAGCGAGAATGTGGAAAGTCAGCCCCACCGCGTTGTGTGTGTCCACTCTAAGGGGACACCGGGGGATGGCAAGGGGGAAGCTCTGTCCAGAAACTGCAAGGGAGCCCCACGGGGTGGCACGATTCATCCCAGATGCCTAGACAAGTCCTGTGTTGCTGGGCCCTGGGCCGGGCCCGTGACCCCGGCTGGGGCTTCCAGTCCAGGCCAGAGGCACCAGGCTCTGATAGGGCCTGAGCCACAGAGTGAGGGCAGGGAATTGGGTTTTCTCCCATGGTGGCCTGGGCCCCATGCGTCCGTCCCAGGCAGCCCCAGGTGCTCTGGTGACAAAGCCGCAGCGACCACCCCTTGGGCGTCCGCCCCGTTCCAGTCCCTTTCTGGGCCAGGTCCCCCGCAGAGGGGCTGAGGGCCCCAGCAAAAGGCCCGTTTCTGTCCCACAGCCTGCACCGCAGCGTCCAGCCCCATCTGTCTCCCGCTGACCGGCCTGGCATGGCCCTGGCAGCCTGCGGGGAGGACTCCACCTCACCGGCCCCCTCCCACTCCCTTAAGCTCCTCTAGGCTCTAATCCCCTGGTGGCCCCTCAGGGGGGCTCCCCTTAAAGAGACAGCTGTGCTGCTCGTGTGGACTGGGGAGGCAGGCTGTGGCCTCCAGAGAGGGCCCTTTTGGGGCTGGGGTGGGGGATGCCAGATCGGGCCAGCCCTCCCTTGGGAGACATGGCTGATACCCAGGTGTGTCTGGGTGCTGGGCTGAGCAGCTCTGGGGGGTGAGGGTGGAGCAGCAGGGCTGGGGGAGCTGGGCAGAGCCTCAGGGAGCTGCACCCTGGGCCCCTCTTCCCTTCCCCCCCTCACCCACCAGTCCCAGACGCACTGGGGGAGGAACACAGCCCCAGGCGTAAACCTCTTCCCCGGAAAGCCCAGGACCGTGACCTTCACTGGCCCAAGGCTTGATGGGAAAACTGGGAGTCCTCCTGGGGGCTGACAGCTGTGCTGGGAGCGAGCCCTGGGGCTGGCATTGGACATGTCCCAGTGAACCCCACTCTGGAATCCCCAGAGGAGGGGGGGGGCGGCGGGGTGCTGCTCCTCCTGCAGGCACCGCCTCCTCCAGGGGGCCAGCCCCCGGGCCCAGGGTGGGGAGGCCTGCGCTGCCCCATTGGAGGGGCCCATGAGGCTGGTTTGCGTCCCAGGGGAGGCAGCAGCCCTTGGAGGGCCCCCCCATATCTGAGGGCTGAAGGTCAGATACCAGGTAAATGACATCGGATGACTTCATGTAGGTGAAAGTGCAGTTGACTACTCAGTGGGCTCCCACCAGTGACTCAGGTAATGGGCCCCATTATAGTAATTACTGTGATTACCGGGAGGGAGGACAAGGCCGTGGGTGGGTCAGGTGACCAGGAGCCCAGCTCAGGCAGCTGAGGGACCACCCAGAGGCCTTCCGGGCTGCCCTGGCATGGAGTGGGGGCCTTCTCCATGTCCCCCTCTGGATCAGAAACCCCACCCCTTCCAACCGGGGACAGCCTGTGCCTCAGCGGGGGGCCAAGGCAGGGCCTCAGGTTATTCAAGGGTCCGAAAGGGATTGTCTGGGGGTGTTGGGCGGGCAAAGGCCAGTGGGTCCTGCCTGTGTGGGGGGAGGGGCTCCAGCTGAGCACCCAAGGGACCAGACAGCTGCCTAACCCTCGGGGTCTCCTTGGCCCACCGTGGGCACTGCTGCTGTGTGTGTGTGGCTGGCATTCTGGTGGCTTCTGTGGCTCTCGCTGGAGCCCGCAGCAGGCTGCAGGGCCGAGATGGGGAGGCACGGGGAGCTGCTTCTCCGCCACAGCCTTGAGCTGGACCTGGTGGCGGCAGGCTGCGCACACAGCACCCTGCCCACCCTCAGCCCTGTCCTCTGCCCGGGTCTGCCCCGGGCCTCCTCTCCCCTGCACCCGACCCCGCCCAAGCGCAGGAGCCCCCTCCCTCTTGAGGTTTTCAGCCCTGCACTTGCGTCAGTCATCTGAGGGGGGGGGTGTCACAGGACCCCGCCCTAGGCCCTGGAGTCTCCAGTGACCCGGATGTGGGCAGGGCTGAGAAATCGCCCTTTTGTGATGAGTTCCCAGGGGACCCTGCCCTGCGGACTTGGAAAGCAGCTGTCTGCAGCCTGGGGAACTCGCGCCAGCCCCTTCAGGCCCTGCCCAGCCCGGAGCGGACCTGGCTGGCCCTCTGGCTCTCGGAACTTTTGCTTTCCCACGAGAGAGCAAGACCTGGTTCTGTTGGGGTAGGGGGTGGTGTCTCACCTCTGTGACCCCGGGGCCGGGCCTGGAGCGCGTGGGGGACAGGGGCCGTGTGTACTGGGTTGGGGGTGATGTGGAGAGGTGGGAGCTGTATGTAGGTCAGTGGTGTGGGTTTTTTGTTTGTTTCCTATGGGAGGATGTGGTGGGGGGAGATAGGCCTGACAGATGTTAATTGTCTTGTGCCTTTTTTTTTCCCAAGAAGGGTTTAAGAAGTAGGGAAGTTAAGTGATGCAAAGCTAAGGAGGAGGAAGTTTACAGAGCATTTAACGGCCTTTGTTCTTTGTTCTTTGTCTTGCTGTATGAGATATAGGAAGGTCAAAGTGGCACCTAGGCTGCTCCTGGGCTCCCGGGCGACAGTGCCGTGTGGGCAAAGGTCGTTGCTCTTCAACCCGACATCAAGTTTCTGGGTTCCCGGATGTGCTTCCCGTGTGGTTTGGGGTTTTGCTCCCCTGCCTGAAGCCCCCAGCTGCCGAGCCCCGAAGGCGTGGCCGCTGCTGTCGGGGCCTCTTAGTGGGTCTGTAACCCACAGGAACCAGGCACAGGGCAGAAAATGGGACGAGCGGCTGGCTTGGAGAAAACAAAACGGAACAAAGAGAGCCATTCTCTCCTCTGGAACCAGGAGCTCACGGTGGCCGCAGATGTGCGGAGCTGCAGAGCGGCCCTGAGTCCCAGAGCTGCCCAGCGCCCGGCTCTTATCAGCCCGGGCTCAGCCCGGCCCGGGGGAGCTTCTGGCCCCGTCTCCTGCGTCCTTTCTTCAGACCTGTGGGAGCTGCCGGCGCGGATCCAAATTAGCACGCACTGTCCCCGGTTGTGCTTCTTGGGTTCCTGTGACGATTTCGGGACAGCCCAGCCCCCCACCCCTGGAGGGCATCACACCAGGCTCAGGGCGGGCCTCCGGGGTGGGCGTGGGGCCGCCAATCTGCGGCCCTGGCCACTGCGGGCTCCCTGGGCCTGGGCTGTGTGCAGGCCCCTTCCTGTACAGCGCAGCTGTGGCCCTTGTCCGAAAGTTACTGCCGTCGCCCTCCATGGCTGCCTTGGCTCAGCCCACACTGCCTCCCCTCAACTGCAGGCCCTTAGGGCCCGGCAAGGGGCAGGACAGACATCCAGGCGAGGACGTGTGCACAGAGAAGGCCCATTCTGCCCTTCTGTCTCCCATCCGTGCTCTTCTGGCCGGGGTCGGGTCTGTCTGTGTTTTTTCAAAGTTCCATTGTTCTGCCTGCACGCGGGTTCAGGGCACTGCAAGCAGCTGGGAGCCGTGCGACCCGGCGTCCCTCTCGCTGTGGGACTGACAGGTCGGGAAGCCACCTGGGAAATCTCTTTTTTTTAAGGTTTGTTTTTTACTTAGCTGAAAGGCAGAGTTAGAGAGAGAGGGAGAGACAGAGTGAGAAAGAGATCTTGCACCTGCTGGTTCAGTCCCTAAATGGCTACAAAGGCTAGTGCTGGGCCAGGCCAAAGCCAGGAGCTTCCTGCAGGTCTCCCAGGTGGGTGCAGGGGCCCAAGCACTTGGTCCATCTTCTGCTGCTTTCCCAGGCACATCAGCAGGGAGCTGGATCGGAAGTGGAGCAGCCGGGACTCAAACTGGCGCCCATGTGGGATGCTGGTGGCACAGATGGAGGCCTAACCTGCTAACCCGCAACGCCAGCCCCAACATGGGAAACCTTGAGCTCAAACTTTCCATTTCTCTTAAAAAGAGCAGTTACCATCCAGCATGCTTCAAGTTCTAAGAGAATCTTCAAGGAAGAAAAACTGATGGTTTGGTCTGTGTCCCGCCCTGGGTCTGTCTGTACACAGAGCCCGTCTCCCTTAGCTGAAATGCTTGGGACCACAGATATTTGAGATTGCGGGGTTTTGCAGGTTTTGAAACAGTTGCTTAATCGGCAGGGCACCCCTCATCTGAAAATCCAAAGTGCCCCCCAAAATCCTAAACCTCTTGAGCATCAGAGACAGCGTCAGGTCAGCACTCAAAAGATCTCTGATCTCGGAGCATTCCAGACAGAGGGCTCTGACGCTGGTGCCCAGGCCCCGGTCAAGGTCAGGACCTCTGTCTAGCAGCAGCCCCGTGAGCTCTCCGGGCCGGGCCGGGTGCATTTGTTCGTTCCAACCTGAGCAGCATCCGCTGCTGATTGCAAAGACCGCCCCCCTCCCCGGAGTGAGACCCAGGGCCCCAAGCACCGCCTCCCAGGAGCGGGCCTCACAGCCCCCCCCCCGATGTGGCCCCCACCGCCAGGTTTCTGGAACCACCCAGCAGATGAAGATGGACCTGGAGCAGCACCTGGCCCGCCTCAGTGAGATCCTGGCCTCCCGGGGCGACTACATCCAGACCCTGAAGTTCATGCAGCAGATGGCCGACAGCATCGTCACCCAGCTCTCGGGGCTGCCCGTGTGGCAGGACGTCGGCGCCCAGCTGAGCGAGCTGGCCGACCAGACCGGCTACGTAGAGTACTACAGGTGAGACTCTTGCCACCTCGCAGGTAGTGCCAGCTAGTTCTGTCCATCCTGCGCCCCATTCCCCAAACCCCAGGACTGGGGACGGCCCCGACGGAGAGCCAGGGTAGGAAGCAGCGGTCTCAGCCCAGGGTCCCTCCTGCCCGGAGGACCTGCGGCCCAGCCCTGCGGGGCGCGGCGCCGAGGAGGTGCGCGGTGCAGCGGGTCCACAGGTTGTGGAGAATCAGCGAGCGGCAGCTCTACGGGCTCCTGACCCCACTGTCAGTGCTCGGAGCGCGGCTTCCTCTGGTTTTCGGGTTTGTCCCAAAGCCCCAGCCCACAGGTGGTCACTGCTGCACTGCGTCCAGAGACCTCCCCCCACGGCTGTTCCCCTTCCCACGGGAAGCGTGGGCGGGTCCCCGAGGGAAGGGAGCACGGGCAGGGCCCTGAAGGAGGGGAGCGCGTGGCGTCCCGGCTTGAGGTGGTGCCGGGCCCGGTCACAGCACATTTGGACGTGGCTGCTGGGTGAGGCTGGGGCTGCGTGATAGGGGTCCTGTGAGGAGAGAAGGGGACAAGGGCGATTCGTTTCGCGTCTTCTCCACACCCGTGGACTCCCAGTACTTGGGTTCTTTAGCCCCGGCTGCCTCAGCTTCTACCCTGTGCCATGTCGCCAGCACCTGCTCCTCGCCCCGCCCTGGGAGACCAGGGGCTCCAGCGTCCCCTGCTGGTAGGAGATCTGGGGGCCAAGTGGCCCTCTAAGGTCTCCCAGCCTTTGTGTGACTGCCTTTCCCCACCAGCTCAGCCCGGCCAGGCCCCTGGAGGGTCCCGGGTTTCCTGGGAGGGGCTGGCCGTGGCTCCCTCGCCCACCTCGAGGCCCCTGCTGGCCGGGAGTGAGTCCTCATACGGGTGTCCTTGGTGCCATGTCCAGTGCCAGGCGTGAGGGCCCTCAACGTGCACAGCTGTGGGTGCCACGAGTTCAAGGGCAGGCGGGGGGCCTCGGGGAGGCTGGGCCAGGCCCTCGACAAAGGTGGGCTTCTCAGGGGCTTGTTTCCATCCCTGGATGCAGCCTGGGGGTTCCGGAAGCACAGGGAAAGCAGGGGCGCAGGTCCTGCCCGCTGGGCGGCTGCAGCCTTGCTGTCCAGTGCGCTCGCCCTGCACAAGCAGGTTCTCAGTGGCCACTCGTGGGCAGTGGCAGGCAGAGGCCGTCTCCGGCTCCGACACTGGATTGAGGTGGCAGGGGGCGGGGCAGAAGGGAGGGGGCAGCCCCGGAGCCCTGTGAAGAGCCCGTCTGTCCGTGCACACTGGGGTCTCTCTGGCTCAGGACCACTTGCAATTCGGGGCCCCCCAAGCTGGGCAGCGGTGGGAGTTCTGCCCGGTTCCCGCTAACCGCCCCTCCCCCTCCACCAGGTGGCTCTCCTACCTCCTGCTCTTCATCCTGGACCTGGTGATCTGCCTTGTCACTTGCTTGGCGCTGGCCAGGCGCTCCAGGTGTCTGCTGGCTGCGTGAGTAGCTCTGCCCGTGGGCCTGGGACAGAGAGCAGGGCGAGGTGCCACCGTCACGGCACCAAGGGCCTGGCCAGGTTGTAGGGGGAGGGGCCAGCCTGGGCGAGACAGCAGGCACCGGCTGGCCATCTGGACACCAGCAGGCACCGGCTTTCTTCCACCTGTGCTGAGCCGCCCAAGGAACGTGGGCCAGGCCCCGTGCCTCCTGCTGCCTCTCCATACACGGTAGCCCTGTGGCTTCAGCCCAGGACCGCTGCTGCCAGCAGTTGGCGGGGCTGTGCGGGGCGGGCAGGGGCCACGAGGGAGGGCACTAGAGGTGGTGGGCTGGCGGCTGTCACGGAGGACCCTCCCTGCCCCCGTGCTGTGCTCCTTGCCCGGTTCCCACCGTCGCCGCCTCTCTCCCAGGATGCTGGGCTGTGCGCTGCTGGTGCTGCTGCTTAGCTGGGCGTCCCTCGCCACGGACTCGGCCACTGCGGTGGTGAGTGGGGGGCGGGGTGGGGAGGTCTGGCCAGGACAGCCTGTCTAGGGGGAAGATGTCCTGTCCAGAGGCCCCACGTGGGGCCAGCTGCCAGCCACAGCCCCTCACTGAGAAGCCCAGCGTCTCAGAACCTAAGGGACTTGGGCCATGTGGGCTCCCCCGTTCTGAGGCTCGCCTGCATGAGCCGGTGGCGTCTCCCTGGGTGAGAAGAGCCAAGGAGGGCCGGGGCGGGGTGGGCCCGGGGCTGATGCGCAGGCTGGAGGGCCCCTGGCCTCAGAAGCGCACCCCCGTGCCGTGCCCGCGTCCTGGGCCCTGGGAGCGTGGCCCTGATGCTGCCTTCCCTCCCCTGCCCCAGACTCTGCCCCAGACACACGAGGTGCCTCTGGCTGTGACTAAAGGGGGCACAGGTGTTTGACCGAGAAGTTGGGCTGCCCGGGTTCGTGTCCCAGCACCTGTCCCCTCTCCAGTTGCCCGCAAATGCAGACCCCAGAAGGCAGCAGGCGAAGGCCCGAGTACCTGGGCCCCTGCCACCCACACAGGAGACCTGGATGGAGTCCGGGCTCCTGGCCTCGGCCTGGCCCAGCCCTGGCTGTCTCAGGCGGGCGTTTGGGGAGTGAACTCGGGGAGGGGCGCGCTCTCTCCTGCTCTCTTTCTCTGTCTCTGCCTCTCAGACAACTTCTGAGAAGTGGGGGCCTCCCACGTGGGTGTGCCTAGTGTTCAGTGGACGTAAAGCTGGCCATCCGCCGTGTGTATGAGTCTGTCTGTCTGTCCACTCGGTGGGCGTGCTTTGCCGTGTGACACTCAGCACCCTTTGCCTGGGGGGACAAAACCCAAGAGCCCTTGGTTTGCTGCTGCAGCCGGTGGAAGACGACTTGGCAGATAACCACGGCTCGGTGTGGGTCCGTTCAGCGTGCGTGCACACGCGTGCTCTGTGCATGCACAGGTGTGAGGGCACATGTGTGATGAATCAGGGGCTTGCAAGACATCCTTAGTCGATTCCAGTGCCACAGACCAGCCTTGTACTGGCCTCTGTTCTGCTGGCTATCTCCCGCTCCCTCCTCGGGTCCTAGACTTCTCTGGAGGTGGAAGGATGGGGGCTGGTACCTCCTGTGCGGTGGCCGTTACCCCGGCCTGCTGTGGGGAAGGGCAGGGTAGCAGGGCCCAGCTCATGCCCAGAGCGTCCTGGTGGCGCAGGAGCTGCCAGACGCTGAGTGGCGCAGAGCCGTGGAGCCCAGCTGGCCAGAGCCAGGTGCACAGCTGTGTCTGGGACAAGTGTGGGCACGGGGAGGCTCTCCGCAGGGCCCAGGCTGGTGGCCTCCTGCTTGCCGCCGTGAGCTGCCCTGCGGGAGAGGCCCCTCGCATGGACTGCTCCCTCTCACCACGCTGCAGTGTGTAAGGAAACAGAGGCCGATGCACTGTGCCAGCTGGGTGCCCTGGAATGCCTGGGAGCTGGGAGAAATGCCATTTCCCTAATTCCTTCAGTCAGGCCCTTGTGTGAGAGCCCAGCGGGTGAGGTGCAGCTGAATGGGCCTTTGATAGGGCCCGGGCCTGCTGCATTTTAATGGGAGGGGGGAGGGGCAGCTGTCGGGGTGGTTGTGCCCAGCTTTTTGTGTGGCCTGCAGGCCACCCTGCCTGTTTGGAGAAGCCAGAGAGCTGACAGCCCCTGTCCCCATGAGGAGAGAGAGTAACGTCCCCAGGGCCTCTGTGCCTGGGTGCTTGAGAGCGGAGCCGAGCCCTGAGCCCCCGCCCTGCATGAGCCGTGCCTGGTGCCTGTGGCTGAGCGGCCAGAAGCTCTGGCGGAGAGGGTTGGCTTAGCCACTTTGACCCCTGACCCCAGCTCCTGACTCCAGCTTCCCGCTAATGCACACCCTGGGAGGCAGCAGGTGACGCTCAGGTAGTCGGGCCCTGGGTGCAGCCTCACTGGAGTTTGGGGAGTGAACCAGCAGATCGGGGCGCGCGCTCACTCTCTCTCTCAAATGAATGATTTTTTTTTTTTACTTTTCTGAAAGATTTTTATTTGTTTGAGTTATGGAGAGAGAGACAGAGAGAGAGAGAGAGATCTTCCATCTGCTAGTTCACTCCCCAGAAGGCTACAACAACCCGAGCTGGGCCAGGCCGGAGCCAGGAGCTTCTTCCAGGTCTCCCACATGGATGCAGGGGCCCAGGCACTTGGGCCATCTTCCACTGCTTTTCCCAGGCCATTAGCAGGGAGCTGGATTGGAAGTGGAGCAGCCCATATGGGATGCCAACATTGCAAGTGTTGGCTTTACCTGCTGTGCCACAGTGCCGGCCCACAAATAAATAAATGTTTTAAGTTAAAAATAAGGAAAAGGAGGAAGTAGATTCAGGGGGTGGGATCTGAGCAGGTGCACTTAGCCACAGCAGCTCAGGACGGGATGTGGCGGCGCAGGGGTGGATGGTGGGGCCCCCGCCTGCATCCACCGCCCCGCCCACCCCTTCCCAGCAGTGGAAGCCTGGGGACGGTCCAAGTTTTCATGCCTCCGTTTCCTCCTGTGTAACATGGGAAGGGTCCATTTTTGTGTCAGAGCGTTGCTAACAGGATATTCCCGAGAGAGACACAGGAAATGTTCAACCCCAGCAGTCAGCGGCTCCCACATGCCGACTACCAGCACGCGAGGGTCCCGGGCAGCCCTGCCCACCTCACCTCTGTCCCCAGGAACTGCCTGCAGCCTCTGCACCGCCCCCAAACCACCCTCGCCTAATGCACCTGTCCCAAGGGACCTCAGACAGGCGCTGAGGGCCCAGGTGCAGGCCTGGCCGGAACGGGGATGGAGGGAGGGAGGAGGAGGCCACCTCACTAGGGAAGCCTCAGATGGGGCCCCCGTCCCTCTGCCTCCCTGGGTCCCAGACTTCCTGGAGGTGACCCAGGCCAAGATGGCCGCCTGTGTTCTTGTTTTTTCCCAAGACTTGCGCACCCGCTGGCTGGCTTCCCTCCATCACTCCAGTGGGGGTGGGGTGGGGGTGGGGTGGGGGTGGGGTGGGGGTGGCCCCGGGCCTGCTGGCGCTGCAGCTCTGATTGCCATTAAGGAGCCAGGATGATTTGTTACGTCTGTTAGTGGTTTGTGTGTAAAATTGTTCTCCCAGGCCCTGAGCACGCGAGGGGGGGAGGGGGTGTGCACATGGGGCTCAGAGCGAGCTCTGTGCCTAGTGGCGCCGGTCGTCCCCAGCCCTCCCTCCCCTCCCTCCGCCCCCCCCCCCCCCCCCGCACACATTTTCTAGACCGTGGTGCCATGATTCAGCTCGCCTGCACCTGGGTCTGCAGCCGTGCCTGGTACCCAGAAGGCGCTGAACACCTGCGCTGGTGTGGCTCCCCGAAGCAGGAGCCTAGGAAGGGAGACAGCACAGAGGGGGCCCTGGCCCAGAGGAGGGGGCTGTAGGACCTGAGCTTGCCCTGGCTGCTCGGAGACCTGGAGACCCCCTTTCCGCAGTGCCCACTGCACCGCAGGCCAGATCTGGGGGGTCTCGCTCAGAGACGCATCCTGGCTGCCGCCTCTCCCATGCGGGCTCAGCTGCCTGTCAGTGGCACGGCCTGGGGCCAGCCCCAGCTCCGCCCACTCCCATGCCTGTGCGCCCAGCGGCTCCCAGATGGGTCAGCGGTAGCCGCATTCTTTAGAAAGAATCCAGAGCCTTCAGAGATTGTTCACCAGCGCGTGCAGAGCTGGGGGCAGCGAGACGAAAAGGGAGAAGAGTGACGAGCAAATGTGGCCACGGTGCGGGAGCGCCTCGCTGCCCCTGGGCCGTGTTCCCGGGCCTTGCAGGCCTGCTCCACACCAGGCATCAAGGTAGGGGCGTGGTTAGCATCCACTGCCCCGCCCCGGTCCCGGCTCTGAACTTGCTCCTTAGGCGACCAGTGCTGTTCTCTCGTGGCACGGAAAGAGTTAACCCATCCAGGTAGGAGCAGAGCCGGGCAGGATTGGAACCGGGAGGCTGCCGTCTTTGCCACCCAGGAATGAACTGCAGGGGCCACGTGGCTGGGGCGGCAGGCACCTGGCTCCCCCGGGGCCCTGGTGTCCGACTCCCGTCTCTCCCTGCCCCAGGGCGCCAGTGACTTCTGCGTGGCTCCCGACGCCTTCATCCTGAACTTCACGCAGGGCCAGATCAGCACAGGTATCGCGCTCCCCCTGCAGCTCAGGGTGCCCGGGGCCTGGCCCATCCTGCGCCTCTGCTTCCCTCTTCCAGCCCTCCCCAGGCCCCGTCTCAGGCCCCGCCGGACCTCGGAGCCCGCTCCTGCAAACGGCCTCCCCGGCGGCCCGGGGATGGGGAGGAAGGAGGGAGGCCTGGCTGGACCAGGGGACGGCGAGGAGCGGCCCCTGCGAGTGGCCTGACGCCCGCGCTGTTGCCTTGCAGAGGTGACCCGCTACTACCTGTACTGCGGTCAGAGTGCGCGGAGCCCCTTCCAGCAGGTACAGCTGCCCCCCGCCCACGCCCCTCCGTCAGCTCCCCACCATGACCCCAGCCCTGCTGCTGACCAGGACCAGGAAGCTTTGCATCCCTGTGTCCCCCCTTGACTGCTCCTCTGCAGGGGCCGTGCTCCTGCCCAGGGACTCCTCGGCCAGTGCCTCTCGCACGGTCACCTGTGCGTCTCCCGTGCAGGGCCAGCGGGTGTGGCCTGAGCTCCCAGGCGAGGCAGATGCTGCCGGTCTGAGGCCCATGTCTGAGCAGCGAGAAGCAGGAGGGCTGTGGTGCCCCCTGGAAGTGGGTAGAGATGGGGGAGGACCTGCGTCGTCCTCGCTGTAGTGGACGGGTTGACCAGATGGCCAGAGTCCATGGGGCACCACTTTGCCATGGAGGTCAGGATTTTGCTGGCCCTGTCCAGCCCTCTGTACCTGCCCTGCAGCCAGTGGGGATAGCCCTGCCCCCAGGGCTGCTGCCGGTGTTGGGGGGAGGGCGTCCAGGCTCCAGGCACGTGGACCTTCATGGGGGCTGTGGTCTCCCCCGGCCCAGGCACTGACCGTCTACCAGCGCTCGCTGACCACCATGCAGATCCAGGTGGCGGGGCTGCTGCAGTTCGCTGTGCCGCTCTTCCCCACGGCCGAGGTAAGGCGCCGCCCCACAGCCGGGGTGCTGGGGTGCTGGGGAGGGGCTCCCTAGCTGAACGCTGGCCCTGCCGGAGCCCCCGGAGCCCCAGGCAGGCCTAGGAGAGCGATTGGCCGGCTCTGCGTCCCCTCCCCGCCTCCCTCGGCGGCCTGGCCCCCTTCCCTTGTCTGGACGTCCTCGGCCCCCACTGTCCCTTTGCAGGTTTTATCTGTCAGTCTCACCTCTCTCCCTCTTCTGGCTCCAGAAAGACCTCCTGGGCACCCAGCTCCTGCTGAACTCCTCCGAGGCCAGCCTGCAGCAGCTGACGGCCATGTTGGATTGCCGGGGTCTGCATAAGGTGCTGGGGTGACCTTGGGGGGCGCGGGGAGGGTGTGGGGCACCCCAACAGGCCACACCTGCCCAGAGCGAAGCTCACAGAGGCCTAGAGAGTGATTTCCTGGTCCCCCTGCAGACCTGGAACAGGGTCAGAGCTCCACAGTGGGAGGGGGGTGAGGAGCCCTGGCATTGAGACCCGGGGCGGGGGAGGGGGCCTGTGGAAGCTTCTGGAGCCATGGGCACAGGGGCAGGCTTAGGAGGGTTGGCTCAGGTTAGCTCTAGGACACTGGGGGTCCCTACCCTCCAAGAGGGAGGTAGTTCCTCACTGTCCAGGCTTGTGCGGTGTGGACGGGTGGCTGCCTACACGCGTGCACACGCAGGAGCCCGTGGACGGGTCACGGGTAGACAGTGCAGTAGCTGGCCGCAGCTCGCCCCTCCTGCACTTGGGGGTGGTCCTGGTAGTGTCGGAATCCACCTGTGCCTCGTCCCCGTCCCCTTTGCGGGCAGTCCCTCCGCCCGTCGCAGACAGCACAGCTCTGTGCGTGCCTCCGCACGGCTCCCTCCTGGCGTTCCTGGGGCTGGGGCCTCCTCCGCTTCCTTGTCTTCTCCATTCTCTTCCTCTCCACCCCGGAGCCCCAGCGTCTGCTGTCACCTTACGATCAAACCCTGACCCCTCTCCCACCGCCCTTTTTCTCTTGGGGGCTGCGCCACGCTCAGGCCCTCTGCTCCCTCTCCTTGAGGTCCGCCCCTCCTTGCCCCGCCCAGTCTCTCTGGTTCAAGGCCGGCTATCCAGGGCCTGACACGCTGCGGCTGCTGCGTTTCCACAGTGCACCCCAGAAGCCTTCTTGTGTTGGGCTCCACAGCCATGGCCCTAAATGGTGGTGCCAGGTGCTGGGGCCAGGGAGCAGCTGGGAGGGCCCAGGCCCAGGCTGGGCGCAGAGGGGCTGCCAGAGACGCGCTCGGAGCCTGGGCTGGGCCCCCATTCCCTCTGCAGCTCCCTGTCTGCCTGCTCCTCCCCAGGACTACCTGGACGCCCTCACCGGCATCTGCTACGACGGCATCGAGGGCCTGCTCTACCTGGGCCTCTTCTCCCTCCTGGCCGCCCTGGCCTTCTCCACCCTGATCTGTGTGGGGCCCCAGGCCTGGAAGTGCTTCACGGCCAGGTGAGCCGCCCGGGAGGGAGGAGGACGGAGACAGGCAGCAGGGAGCCTGGTGGGCCGGCTGGACCCCCCCCTCCCGAGACGGACCCCCACGCTGAGGTTTCTGGGGGACTCAGGGCAGGAGCTGGGGCTGGGACCAGTGGGGGTTCTTGTCCTACAGACTGGCACCCCAGCTCCTCAGCAGGGGGCTTTGCAGGGGTGCTGGGGGAATGCCAAGGGGATACATTGTATCACTCGCATCAGGGAACAGGTGCACCCTGTGTGTCAGCGCCTCTGTGGGGAGGATCCCAGGCGGGCTGCCTGCAAGAGTTGGCCAGGGAGAGCCCTGTGGAGCAGAACGGGGAAGCGGATGGGACCAGCAGCCCCAGCGCCCTTCCGCGTGTCTTTGCAGGGACAGAGACTACGACGACTTCGACGACGGCGACCCCTTCAACCCCCAGGCGCGGCGCATGGCTGCCCACAGCCCCTGCCGGGGGCAGCTACACAGCTTCTGCAGCTACAGCAGCGGCCTGGGCAGCCAGAGCAGCCTGCAGCCCCCGGCCCAGACCGTCTCCAACGCCCCCGTCTCTGAGTACATGTACGGCGGGGGCCCTCGGGGACCCCACACGCCTGGGCTGGGAGCTGTCTCTGTGGGTGGGGCGGGGGAAAGAAGACATCCAAGGCCAGCTGGTCCCCCCCCCCCCCCCGCCCAGCTGTGAGATGCATCTGGTTGTCTCCACACCAGCCTGAGCTGTGGGAAGAGACCCCAGCTGTGCATGACAGCCCTGGGTGGTCCCCGGGCCACCCTGCTCGGCCTGGGCGCCTGTGCCCTCTGTGCTCATCCCCAGGGCTCCCAGAAACCTGCTGCCCCCTCTCTATCCATTTCCTTCCCTCTCCCCTCCTCGCACGCCCCCCGGGACCCTCCTGAGCAGTCTGCCCGCTGGCCCGCCCTGAGCCACCCTCTCGGCTCTGCAGGAACCAGGCGATGCTGTTCGGTGGGAACCCACGCTACGAGAACGCACCGCTCATCGGGAGAGGCTCCCCTCCACCCACGGTAACCCCTGCACCCGCGTGGTCCCGGCTGCAGCCCTCATGGGGAGACAGTTACGGATAAACCCCAGCCAGCCCCTAGGCGGAAGGGAATGGAACGGTTTGTTATTGAATAAGCACTAGGCGCAGTCGGACAGCCGTGCGCACAGTGGGGCAGCCACGCACGCAGTGGGGCGGCCGCCTGGGAACCGCCCCTTTGTCCAGCCAGGCAGCTTCTTCCGTTTCCCAAGATAGACGGTTCCTGGTCTGTCTGGGAGCTCGGCAGCGCCCTCTGCCGGCTGCTGCGGCTAAACCCACCTGGGAACCGGTGCTTGTCCTCGTTAGCTAACTGCCTTCCTCCAGAGGCCGAGGGAAAAGTCTCCTGCTTATCCTGGGGCTCCCGCTGGAGCCAGCAGCTGGAGCCAGGAGGAGAGATCAGTTACATTTGCAGGAAGTTTTCTAAACTCCAGGAAGCCAGGGGATCTCTCTCCCCAACCTCCAGCAGGGACGGGTAGCCCCAGGGCAGGGGCCTGAGGCGGCCGGGGTGGGCAAGTGAGGACGAAAGCCCCCGCTGCTGGTTTCTGAAGGTCCCAGGAGTCCTTGCCTGAGGCAGACAGGGCTGCCTTAGACCCAGGGCCCAGGACACAGGCGCCCGTGGCAAGGGCCTGGGTTCCAGCTCCTGCAAACCTGAGCAAATGCTACCTGTCTCTGGGCCTCGGTGCCCCCATCTGGAGAATGGGAGTCCAGGGAGGGGTCTGAGCCCTGGAAGGCTCGGTCATTGCAAAAGCAGTTGTGTGAGCGCTGGAGCACTCTTAGGAGTGAGCAGCGCGTCTCCGTTGCGAACGCCGCCTGCCACACTCCCTCCCTTTCTAAGAAGGGGAGGGGAGGAGGGGTCTGGAGCCGCGTGTCTGCCCTCACTTCCGCTGGACGATGCGTTGCACCTGTGTAGGCTGGGACTTTGGGAGGAGGTGACCTGGAAGCACGTGTGACCCGGGGGTGATGGACGTGGGCCCTGAGAACCTAGGAGGCGCGTGGACACGGTGTGCAGGGGGCAGCTTCCCGGGCATGATGCTCTCGGCCTGCCGAGGCAGGACAAGACCCGGTGCCCGCCTTCGGGCAGTGTCTGGTCCCTTGGAGGGGCTGCCTGGGGAAGGGCCGGGAGGGGCTTTGAGGCCGAGAGGGAGGAGCTGTCCACGCTGTTTGGGGGATTCTAGAAGGTTCTGTAGGGGTAGTGCTGTGTCCAAGGAGCAAGAATTGCAGTTTGGTTTAGAGGTCTTAGTCGGCTTCATTTGTGGTCCCGCACAAAATGGAATAAGCGTCCGGCGGGCTGAGCAGAGGGCTGGTTTTGTGGGCGGAGAAGTCAGTCGCCTCGCAAGGTGGGGACAGCAGTGGGGAGCTGGCGGTGGCTGCGCCTGAGGCCACTTTGCCATTGGGCCAGTTGGCACCCCTGGCTCTTCCTCCTCCCTCCTGGTGTTCTGGAGCATCAGGTAACAGTTTGGTCTGGTGCTGTGACACAGGACTTCAGCGTGAGTGACCACAGGAGCCTCGTTCAATAATGGTCACCTATAGTTTTTTTTTTGTAAAGGTTTGTTTATTTATTCGAAAGAATTACAGAGGCCAGGGCTGGGTCAGGCTGAAGCCAGGAGCTTATTCTGGGTCTCCCGCGTGGGTGGCAGGGGCCCAAGCACTTGGGCCATCTTCTGCTGCTTTCCCAGGCACATTAACAAGGAGCTGGATCGGAAGTGGTTAGCTGGGACTCAAACCGGCACTCACATGGGATGCCAGCACTGCAGACCGGGGTTAACCCACTACACTGCAGCACCAGTCCCATATACAAAAGATTTATTGATTATTTTTATTTGAAAGAGTTACACAGAAGGAGAGGGGAGAGAGAAGAGAGAGAGAGAGAGAGGTGTCTTCCATCCACTGGTTCACTCCCCAGTTGGCCGCAATGTCCAAATCATGCCGATCTGAAGCCAGGAGCCAGGAGCCTCCTCCAGGTCTCCCACTGTGGGTGCAGAAGCCCAAGCACTTGGGCCATCCTCCACTGCTTTCCCAGGCCACAGCAGAGAGCTGGATCGGAAGTAGAACAGCCAGGACTTGAACTGGTGCCCATATGGGATGCTGGCACTGACAGGCGGCAGCTTTACCTGCTGCGCCACAGCGCTGTCCCGCCCCCATATACTTTTTTAAAAGATGTATCTTGTTTATTTTAAATGCAGAGCAAGAGAGAGAGCGAGAGTGAGAGAGAGGTAGCTTTTTATTCTCTGGTTCATTCCTCAAATAGCCTGAATGGTCGGGACTGGGCCAGGCCAAAGCCAGGAGCCAAGAACTATTCAGGTCTCCCCAGGGGTGGCAGGTGCCCAATGTCGGGCCATCTTCTGCTGTCTCCCAGGCCATTAGCAGGAAGCTGGATTGGAAAGTGGAGCAGCCGGGACTTGAACCGGTGCTTTGATACGGGATGCCTAGGTCACAGGTGGTGCTTTAGCCTGCCACGCCACAACGCAGGCCCCTCTCCTTTGGCTTTTATTTCTAGCGGTGGCCTCAGAGCCACGCCTGTGCAGTTAGTCTCTCCAGGGGCCACAGCTTGGGTGGGGAGGGGCATTGCTGTGAGCGTCTGGTGAGTGGAGGGCCTGTGGGCAAGAGAGCCCCTCATAACAAAGGCCAGGCGTGGTCCCACGTGTGCACAGTGCACAGGGCTGTGTCCTGTGCTCTGTGGGCTGTCAGCAGTGCCCCGACCTCTGCCCTGCCGAGCGCCAGCAGCACCTGGCCCCCGTCTCCCCCCCACGGCCCCCCTTGGTGTTTCTTTCCGGTTCTTCTTGGAGCCTGCACCTGCTCTCCTTTGAAGCAGTTTTACAAATAGCTCAAAACCCATCCTGGTTTTGTTCCTTCTTCCTGGGGTCCTGGCGATTGGGAGTGGTTGGCGGAAGGCTGCATCCAGCCTCGCCGCCAGTCACATCCCGGCCTGGCTAGCGATGTGGATCGTCGAAGACGTCTGTGCTAATCTAAGCAAAGCACAATTCAAGAAAGTCCGCTGCTGTGAAAAGCCAGCGACTCCACCGTGCGTCGTGATGCCGGATAAGAGCAGTCGTCAGAGCCCCTTCCGTCTAGAGAGACAGCGGTCCTCCCCCTGCCTCCTGAGCCGATCCAGTGCTAGGAGCCAAGAGCTTCCTCCGGGTCTCCCACACGGGTGCAGGGGCTCAAGCCCCTGGGCCATCCTCTGCTGCTTTCCCAGGCCACAGCAGAGAGCTGGATCGGAAGAGGAGCCGCGGGGACGTGAACCGGCGCCCACATGGGATTCCGGTGCCGTAGGTGGAGACTTAGCCACTGCGCCACGGAGCCGCCCCCCTGTATACTCCTCCAGGTCACTTCCGTACAGTGTAGTGCTGCGTGCGTAGTTGTCTAGGAAGTAATGACCAGGGGCACCCCGCACGTGGCCAGTGATGCAGGTTTTCCTGCAGACCTTGGGGTCAGTGGCGGTGGGATCCAGGATGCACCCTGCAGGTGCGCAGGGTGGGCTGCACGAGGGGTCTTCAGAAAGTCCGTGGAAAGTACGTATTATGAGAAAACGATGCAGGAGCTTCCAGAAGATAAACTTGTTCACTTCCACTTTCCCTGGCCTTTCTGGGATTCCCTCGTGCTGTGTCGGGCGGGGGTCCGCTCTGACAGCGCCGTGTCTCCCCTCCCCGCAGTATTCCCCCAGCATGAGAGCCGCTTACCTGTCGGTGGCAGACGAACACCTGCGGCACTACGGCAGCGACTTCCCAGCCTAGCGGACGGCCGCGCCAGGGCCCTGCCTGCTCTTCCCGCGGGCCCACCACGGACCACCCGCGTTCCTCCAACGGGAATCAAAGGCACCCGGACACCTGCAGGCTCTCACAGCTGACCAGCGCCCCTGGCGGGGACAGAGAACCTGCGACTCGGCCAGCCTCTCTCTCCTGCACCCCCCTCTCTGCACCAGAACCGCCCCTGGGGCTCCCTGGGGC